AGTGTGCTAGACCACCACCCCATCACTGTGTGCAGTGTGCTAGACCATCACTCTGTCACAAAGCGCTCAGATGTGGGGGTACTGCTGAGGTTTAAGACCATAGTTTATCTGTTCCCAGGGTAGAAAAGCAAGGGAGAAACTCAAAATTTCATAACTTTACCACGGAAATAGAAAAACGAAACAAGAGAAACAGAGAAAAACGATCGAAGAATAAGTGTCACAGGCTCTGGATTATGAAATCACACTCTACACAGTGAAGTAAGAGGAGAATCAACCTCAGCTGCCAAACACGGCTGCTAGGCTCTCATGTGCCAGGGCGATGGAGTCCATGAGCTTGTGTGTCACACCAGAGGTCCACAGCGCTCACTTCCCAAAAGACTGGGATGCCCACGACATGAAAAACCCTAACCTGACTTGGAAAGGTAGCCTGGGTCGAGTCCATGAGATGGTGCAGCAAGGAAACATGGCTCAGTGCTGGGTAGGCCTGGTGAGTTTAAGCCCATGAACCCACGGTGTAAGGAGAGACCTGACCCTAAAAGTGTGCTCTGACCTTACACACAGACACACACGCCACGGCACACATGTACTCACGTTCATCACAAAAACAGATAAATAAAAAGGTAAGAGATAATTCTAGAATGTAGTCAGGTCAGGGAAGAAATGAGGAAATTCGGTTTACTGCTTGTGACAGTCTGAGCAGGGTCCAGAGACATCAGGGCTGCCAAGGCCCTGCCTTGGAGCCAGGAACCTTTGATAATCTTGTGCAGTCTGTCCAGGGTGCCTTGGGAGAATGCTCTCTAGACTACGACAGTAACTGACCCCACTCTGCGCCTGAAACCCGGAGCCGCTTGCTTCATGGAAGGGGAAATGTTGCAAGGACATTTAGAGTGGAGCTTGGACACAAGGCCATGGCTCCAGGACCAATCCTGGAAGAGTCCAGCCCTTAGAATGCTGGGTAATGAGGTGGTCCTACAAGCCAGGTTATCCACCTTCCAAAGCCTTCAGGGAGTGCCTCCTGGCTTCGTCCTGTTTGTTCAGTGAGAAGGCTCGGGTGAAGGTGGTGCCAGTCACATCTCTCAGTGAAGCAAGAGGCATCCCAGGATGGGGGTGGGGGAGGAGGAATGTAGTGGCACCGGCCAGGGTAGAGCAGCTTCACTGACAGGAATAGCCCACGGTGACCAGAACCAGGCTCAACACCCACCGCTTCTCCCCAGCACACCAACCATCTATTCCAAATGTTGGCAGCCTTTGCCTTCCTTAAACAATTTCTTCTACTTTGAGTAGGAATGAATGAACTCATTGTCTTAGTGCAGCTCCGGCCACGCCGGTGCGGAGGCCCCTGTTGCTGTAACAGTTCCAGGCAGGGAGGTGGAGTGACGGTCACTTAGATGTAGCTTAGTGGCAGCTCACTGCCCACAGAGAGGGGCTGTGAGGGTGGGTACTCAGTTAGCCATGACGGAAACAAGCAACCGCAGCAGAACAGTGGGAATGAACGACCTAGTCCACTGGACAAGGCTTCACTCAAAAATTAAGCTGGAAACATTACCAGGACAGCAGGGTGCCCAACAACTTTCAATACCCTAGCCCGTGCCCCACCCAATAGGATGCACAGCGCTCCAGCTACCTCAAAAACATTACATCCCCAGGCACTAATTGTCCGAACCACCTGAACCTAAAAACATTTCTACCAGGTTGAGAGTGGGGAAGTCCCAGACCTCAAGGAAGTACTCGGTGATACTGGCAGCCCAGCAATTTCTTCCCCAAACCAATGTGTTAATATTCAACTATTGTAGCTCATGTACACCTGGGCAAACCCTGAGTTCTTGGAATTTCTTCATGAGGAGTGAAGTCACACACGCGTGTGCGCACACACACACAGACACACACACACAGCCCTCACTCTTCACACAGTGGTTATGACATCAAAAAGAACCCCCGCCCCGAGACCCTGAATGTGGAGTTTACCTTAAATGAACTGTGCACCAGGGTCTCATCCAGGTCAATGACCACACATTTCTTCCCATAGTCGAGCACCGTCACCTCTGGAAGGAGGTATTTAGCTGGTGGCTAAAGGAAGAAAAAAAAATTAATATTATAAACTCAGTGGTAGAGGCTGACCCTCCCTCACCTCCACTATAGCTGAGACCACATTAACGTGGGTGTAAATGAAAGTGGACATTTAGAGGCCCGGTCAGGCTCATCAGGTCCCTTTACTAAAAGCAATAACAACAGAGATTCTGCAACAGGGATTCTGTCCCACTGAAACCGCATCTTTCTGTGACTGACTGATGCCTGGCTTCAAGCCTGGCGTTCAATATCACCGCAGACACTTATTATTGTTATCAGTTGAGGCAATTATAGCTCCATGCAAAACAGATGTTTATCAGTTGTACTGTCACTCCATCACCAAGCACTTCTCTGGGACCCATAGGGTGGCCAGTATTAGTAAAATGAATCACACAAGAAATGAACAGTTACATGGAACAACTATTCTGACTTCACAGGCCTATTTCCTGGGCTTGTGGTTTGCCTAAATTTCACTGTAACATGTCAGGAAACTTTGGAGCTATGTTGGACCCATGATACTTTTATTTATGTATATGCATGTGTGCCTGCTGGTCTGTATGTGCACATTGTGCATGCAGTGCCTGCAGAGGCCAGAAGAGGGCGTCAAATCCCTGGAACTGCATTTACAGGCTGTGAACCACCTTTGTGGGTGCTGAAAGTGGAGTCCAGGTCCTCTGCAAGGGTAACACAAAGTCTTAATTGTCTCTCCAGCCTCATGCCTGGCATTCTTAAACACTTGACCCACCAACAAGTTGTCCTTCAAGTATTAAAATTGAAACTGGTGGGCACAGCCCCTCCACTGTTGTGGCGTGAAACCGATGGTTGAGGCATCTGTACCTCTTACATCAAGTTAGACTTTAACCCACATGCTGTGTTAAGCCAGTTCCCCGCTCCCCCAATCTGTTCTCGTAGCAGCTGACTCCTATCCTGTGGTGGGGTCATAAAGAGCTAACACACTGATTTCAGCCAGCCTGCTCTGTTCTGAGTATTTATTTCTTTGGGCCTTGCCTCATTCCAGAGATAATGTGAAGTATTTTAATTGACTGTGGTATGTTCAGAGGCTAATGTTAACTAGTTAATTTTTTCCTGCAAACTGTTTAATATTTGATGCAAAACAAAACATAATTAAATATCTAGACTCAGCCACGGAAGAATGAACAGTGGAGTTTTTCAAGCAAGACAAGCAAGCATGAAATCAGAAGTATTTTCTGTGAAGTGGCTGGTTCCCTTCACTTTTGAACATTAGCTAAGGGGAAAAAAATAGTAATTTTGAAGCTAGATGGTGCACACTTGTGATCCCAAGAGGGCTGCTCAGGAGGCTGAGGCAGGAGGAGAAGCCAGACTTGTCTCGGCTACACAGTAAGTTCAGGGACTTGTTTGGCCAACTTAGCGAGACCCTGGCCCAGAAGTAGGGCTGGGGATCTAGCTCAGTGGCAGAGCGCTGGCATGTGTGGGGCATTAGGGCTAGTTCCAGGACTGAAAACACAATAGAATTGAACCCTAGCTAGCCGCAGAGTGAGGGCAAGCCACAGGGCAGGTTAGCTAATGAGGTAGGTACCATGATCACCCAGGACAGGGGCTGAGTAAAAGGTGACATGTAGGGCCAGAAGTGGTCCTAACTCCAGGGTGCTTGGCATTGATGCCATTTTCTAAATCATTGGGAAGAAAGAGCCCAGAAGGCTCCACTTTCCAAAGCTCTAACTAAAGCTGGCTTCCGGTCCCTCCATGGCCTCTGGCACTAGCAAGGGAGGTGGGATGTGCCCTGGCTGCTGAAGTGGAATTCAGGGACTGAAATGGGACCTGTTTCCATCATTATAAACGACAGAGTCAGCAGGGTGTTAAAAAAAAAAAAGATAACAAACTCACAAGAAGTTTTGTACGAAAACATGTTTTTTAAAAAAAGGCAGGGTTGAACACAACCAAAAGATAGGGAATTCTTTGTGCCACAGCAGAAGGTATGCGCGTGACCACAGTAAAATTTGCTTTGATTTTATCACACAAGTCTGTGACAGACACAGTCTCACTGTGAAGACTACGGACAGGCAAGACTTTTTCCCTTTCAATCCCCCGACCCAGGTGGAGCATCCTTCCCTCCAGCCTCCCCCTCGGCTGCACGCACTGCTGCTGAAGCGATGTTTATAACTTCAGTCACTTAAATTGCTGGCCTGGGAAACAAGGCTCTAGCAATCCAACCCCTCACAGATCTGAAAACATCAAAGATCTGCCCAAAGCGGCTCAGAGATTTTCCAAGCCCAAGATTAAAAATTCCCTTCTCGGCATATGTACCACACTTTATAAGCACTGTCTGAGTTAATAGTAATTAAGAAAAACAGACAGCTCTGACCAAATGATACAGGGAAGGAGGGATCAGAGGGGCGAAACTCGGCTAAGTAAGCTCCTGATTTTACAGCAGAGAGGAAGGCCAGGCTCCAGGAAGATGCAAGGAGGGAGAGCTCCATCAATCCAGCCCTTCACACAGCTTCTCTGGGGGCCTCCTCGGGAGGAATGCAAATTCCTCAGCCCATGCTAAGACCTCTGGAGAGCCAGCCACATTCTTGGCAATACCAAGACACTGTAAAGCCACCATAGTGTTCGGTGAGTTAGCTGGTTCTCGAGTCAGTCACTCAAAAGATTTAACCAAATCTCTGAGGTCATCATAAAGCTTAAGAACAAGACAAACTCCCATTACATCAAGAAGGATTGTACATATTTACAGTAGAACTGTAAGCCAAACCAGGTGGCACCGAGTCTTTTTCCTTTTGAAAACATGAGTCAAAGTCTACTAAGGCACCCAGACTGGCCTTGAACTCACTCTACCTCAGCCTCCCAAATAGCAGAAATTAGAAGCCCATACTGGAGTCTGATGACTTCTTCCACCTGTATGTGGGACCTAGGGGTGAACTTGGGTTTTCAAACTCACTTGGTAAGCACTAAGCACCTTGCTGGCCATTTAGGTCTGGCTGGTCTGGAACTCTCAACCCTCCTGATGGTGAGATTCTAAGCATGGGCCACTGAGTATGATAAAGTATGACCTTTTGTTTTTGTTTTATTTTGGAGACACAGTTTCTCTGTAGCTTTGGAGCCTGTCCTGGAACTAGCTCTGTAGACCAGGCTGGCCTCGAACTCAGAGAGATCTGCCTGCATCTGCCTCCCAAGTGCTGGGATTAAAGGTGTTTGCCACCTCGGCCCAGCAAAAATGGTCTTTTCTATACAAAATCACTTATACAAATGCATGTGTGGGACTTGCAGGATGGGGCAGAAACACGGAAGTGGGGGAGGAGAAAGGCATCGTGGTTTGCCATCTGAAGTCTGGAAATGAAATTCCAGTTTTATTAAAAGCTTTTGGCAGACAACACAGACTGACTGTTAAGTCAATTCTGCCATCCCCCTTCACTTCTGTGTTCAGAGTGTGGGACAACAGGACTCGGGTCACAGACCCTGTGGGTTCTTTCACGGAGGATGCCACCTTTACAAGCTTGTCTCAAGCCATGACCACTCTGTGAACTTCCCATCCCTGCATTTCTTCCTTAGCCATCAACATCCGACCATAAGTACAAAGCCCAGGAAGCTTCCCAGCGAGGAAGCCCTGACTCCCAGCCCACAGGTGGGATACGAAAGCTACTAACTGAAGTTTTCAACGGTCTGTGTAAACATGTCATTCCAGTGGTGTGTCACAGGTGAGGGCTCAGTAGAGGTTCAGGGCAGCAGAGCGGCCACTGGAGACTATCCCGTGCTTTCTAAATGAATGAAGAACACCAAAATCTCAGAGGAGGACATGGGTCCTGAGTCACAGTTATAGAGTGGATAGATCTCCCAAGGCACAGAATCAGGAGTCATAAAACATTAGATGAGTACATTTACCTATAGGAGATTAAAATTTCTTTGTGGCCAAAATGATTGAAAACACGGACAAAAGATACAGTATAGTCCTTTAACATTAAAAACTTTAAAAAAAATGTGTGTATGCGCGTGCGCATGTGTTTGTGTGGACATATGAAGGTCACAGGACAACTGTGGGGGTTGATGATCTCTCTGTGTCATGTGGTCCCAGGGAGTCAGACTCAGGTCATTGGCCTTGGCAACACCTTTACCGACTGAGCTCCTTCTCTTAGGCCCAAGCACCACTTTCTGAACATTTACAAAAGAGAGGACAAGATAAAGCCTAGACGGGCAGGATGGAAGCAAGGTGTGCGGCCAGTGAGAGACTGCTCATATTCACGGGTCACAGATGCCAGTCAAAGCAATAAACCAACAGCATTCTTCGCTTTTGGATTAGCAAAGGCTGGGAACTTCTGAAAAGCATTTCTGAGAGGGAATGGGGCATCTCACCTCTCATCTCTAACTCACCTCTCATCTCATCTCATCTCTAACTCATAGTCGTCGGTGTTAGAGGGCAGTTTGGCTTCGACAGCTAACAATGAGGACTAGGCTGCTGCACCCAGTGTTTTCCGTTAGGACCCGATGGGCAGGTCCATGGACACATGGACACTCCTTTAACAAATGATTGTGTCTACACAAACAGCCATGTGAATGCAGTCAGCGGCAGGCAAAACATATGTACATGTAGATATGTACAAAACATATACACATGTAGATGTACATATGCTGATCTGTACAAAGATGTTCAATGTGTCCGTGACTAGCATCAGATGGCTTGCGGAATGGCGGGAGCAACACAGTCTCGTGCGTATGAACATGTTTGCTTGGGAGCTTTCTGAGAGGGTGGGACAAACATTAAGGAGAGGTATGCTAGACTGTGGGCCCTGCCCGGAGAGGCTTTTCCCCCTTATGTTAATTTCCCATCATTTAAAGTTTAACTACTGGCTTGAATTATTGTTGAATAAAAAGTTCAAAGTCTGAAACTTCTGCACATGCAAAAAGACCAGCATATGAATGAGAGATGCGGGGGTGGGGCCCGAAGCAGAGATGGGGGATTCTGTGCCAAGAGTTGCCCTGGGCACCTGCGGCCTCAGATGGCCCTTCCTCTTTCCTGGAGAAAGCCTTCAGGGGACCTGGTCCTGAAGTGCTTAGGTATCTAGTCCTTTGATGCAGACCTAGCTTCAGTCACTCAGTATTACCCAGAATACCCTTTGCTCCACAGGGTCACTCTACCTAAGTGACCCGGGGCCTTGGGAAGTCAGTACAGACTTTACCAGGGATGCCAAGATGTAAACCTCAGGACTGAGCTGAGCCTGGCTGACCTTGTCCTCAGTCCCGCATGTGGAGCAGGCAGTGGAGGTGGCACCATGCCCAATGGTGGGACTGTTTTCCTTCAGATCATCATTTAAAGGTGCAAATCGGGGCTGGGGGGGGATGTCGCTCAGTGGTAGAGAGCTGGTTTAATATGCACAAGGTAATTCCCAGTGCGGGGCCGGGGCGGCATCAACATGAAGACACGATTAGAGTTACTTCAGACAGGTGCTGCCTCTTCGGAAGACAGTCCCAAGAGCCACATGTGACCACTGTCTGCTGTAGATGCAGGACAGAGCCTGGAGCCCATTGATCCGACGCTAAGATAAATTACACCAGGAACCTTCTCGGCCCTGCTTACTTTATGCTGGGATTCTGTATGCGGTTGAGCCCAGTTTCCTCAGCGGGGTTTGCACGGCCCACAGCTACTTTCCTTCGCGCCTCGCTTTACAGCCGGCCACGAGTTACCTTTGTTTGCAGCACTGACACGGAGAGGACACTAGATGCTGCCACCTATTTAACACAGATGCTTGTGCAAGAAAAATGTACGAAAATACCTCCGTAGAGGTTAAAGGTGGCCCGGTGACAGAGCCTGCTGGGTGTTGCTGAAAACACTGGCTCAGAGGCTACCTGGCCTGGTCAGTCTCTCCCCCAGGGAAGCCTAACCCCTAGACACAGTCAATGGAGAACTGAAAGTCTTGAGAAAAGCAAAGTGAGTGACTTTTTTGGGCCAGTTGCAATCTCTGGCAACCCAAACTCATAAAACCCACTCTATTTGGTGCAGGGTGGCCATACTTCGGGGAGGCTTTAGGAAAGCACACACACAGACTGGAATCCCATAATAGGAATCAGGTAATCCTTAAAGACTATAAGACCAATTCACAGACTGTTCTGGAAACTGGGTCCTTCGCTGAGGACACGGGGCTGTGCCTAGCTGTGAAGTTCCTCTGGGAAGTAGTTGGATGTAGAGTGTTGCTGGCTGAGGAGGGGTGGGAACATACAGGAGAGTGAATGGCAGGCCCAGTGGAGGCCTGGGGACACAGGTACAACTTAGCTCTGGAATTCAAGGTTTTCAAAGGGTTAGTGAGGTGGCCTGGCAAGTCGCAGAGCAGCTGGCCGAGGGGTCTGAGGGGTTGGTTGGGTCCTGGGAGTTTAAGGAGATTAAGCCCAAAAGTTCCTCTCAGCCCAGAGCTGCAGCCAAGCAGCCCCGGAACAGCGAGCACCTTCAGTGAGCCAGACTCTGCTGTGAGGAAGCAAGTCTGGGCAGTGCGTGCCGCTCTCCTGATCAGAGGAGCCGGTCCAGGGCATACGGTGGGTGGGGTGGGCGCCAGGCCACTTGACTGCAGCTGGGAGCTTCTTCTTGGGAGTAAGGAGGTGAGGATTGCAGGAGAAAAGAGGGGTGAACGCTGCAGAGTCTGTTTCTGTACACAACTCAAACTAATTTTGTTTTTCTGCCTCCCCCCCCCCTTTCTCTCTCTTTCTCTAGCAGAATATAGCTGTTTACACCACATGATAAAACCCAACAGAAGCAAGAACGTTGGAAAACCTTTCCCCTTAGTAGGAAATGCACTGAAGGATTTCATGCATGCTTTAATAGAACTGGATAAAAGATACATACACTTGGTACGGGAATGACCTGCCTCTGGTCACCCTGAGGAAAAAGAAAAGAAAATCACTGTCAGGATGGAAAACAAAGAGACCACATTCTCAAAAGAAACTTCTAAGCTCTCTTGAGCAGAAACACAGCAATGGCCTTCCCACCCCTGCACCCTGGTGGCAGTGAGCAGAGGAAGCCAGGGACTTCCGGGAGGGAGCAGGCCCAAGCTGCCTCCAGGCCCCTCCCGGACAAGGAGGCAGGGTTTCTGAGGCTCAGGCCTGTTTATTTAAACAGTGTGTGCCCGCTCTCAGAATACAACTGTAACTTAAAAACAAAACCGAACACTCCGATTTTGATCCCCACCCCTCTAATAACCGGCTTCTTTCTTGTGTTTAAGCAATTTCCCCCCTAAAAGGACAAACAGGGAAAGGGAGGCAGGTTGATCGGATCACGAGGAATGCCTGACCGCTCCAGGTCCTCCTAGAGTGGAGGAGAGAAGGGAAAAGTGGAGGACAGGGCAAGGTACAAGAAGTTCCCTCCCAGGCTACCAATGCAGCTTTCCCCTTTAAGGGAAACAGAACACTGTTTTCACTGAGGGTGTTAAGAATGTTCATGCCCCGAGGAGGGGCCTCAAAGAGCTTCAGCCCAGAATACCAGCCTTGCAGACTGGCAGGGGCACTGTTGCGCTGATAAATGTTAATACAAGGGGAAGAAAGTTTTATTTACTTTTTGTGTGTGTTTTTCTTTCTCATATGCTGGGAGAGGGAGATGTGCTGCTTCGTGTCTCCAATTGGAGGATTTGAGAAAAGATGTATCCATGGCTACCAAGGTGGTCACCAGCAGCATGGTCTCCTGTGAAGGCCAAACCTGACGGCAAAGGCAAGCGGCTGGCACCTCCTGGTAGCTTTGCTAAGACTCACATGGTGACTTCACGATTCTCTCTGGGCCCTAGACATCACCTCTGTGGGGGTAATTGCAATCCTCTTTTCTCCAGAGATGACCTGGATGGCTTGTTCCTTTGCCAGGAGGCCCCCAAGAGGGGCCTCTCTCTACAGTTCTAAGCAGTCTCCCTCAGAGGGGAGCTGCAGGGAGCTTCATGTCTCCCACACAATAGCACACGCTAATAAAATCCTGGTGTCCAACAACTGGCTCAGGGAACTTCACCCCAGTGTCTGGATTAGGGAGCAGAGGGCTGCTATAGGCTTAACCAGAAGCTCGTAAGTGCTGGTCCCTTCAGAGCGGTGTTTTGTCTGCATACCACATGTGTGCCCACTGCCCGTGGAGGCCAGGAAGGGGTGCCAGATCTCATGACTAGAGTTAGAGAGGGTTGTGAGCTGCCACAAGGGTGCTGGGAATCCAACTCTAACCCTCTGAGCTTTCTCTCCAGCCCCGCCGCCGGCAAAAACAAACAAACAACAACCCTGAGTTATTTAAAAAGACATTTTTGCAAATGTGAACAGAGGCAAGCCATGAATAAACAGTAATTCTGAGACCACCGCTCCCAAAGGAACGCCTTTACAAGGTGTTTATCTCCACGGACAACTGAGGATCCCGGTTCCCTTCACTTAAGGCACTTCTCCCCAGGGACAGGGTCTTAATTCTCTTATTTTAAAAACGTGTTCATTACATCTATTTATTCATTTTGCACGTGCCACTCTGCACGCGTGGAGGCTGGAGGACAACTCGCAGGAACTGATTCTCTCCTTCCCCCACGTGGGTCCCAGGGATGGAACTGAAGTTGTCAGGTGTGATAGCAAAAGCCTTTTCCTGCTGAGCCGAGCACTGGTCTCCGCCGGCAGCAATAGTTTTTAAGCAGGGCAGGACAGAAATGCATGGAGAGAGTTGCTTGGAATTGGGGTCAGGAGACGAGCCACAGTGGACTCTCCTTTTATACGTTATGACAGCTACACACACCAAAGAGTCACATCTGCTAGGCGAGCTGTCTTTTAGTGTGTTCTTCCTTGAGCTTTCTTCAGTATCATTGATGTCTTTTCCTTCCACACGAATGTAAGCCCGTCCAGAAGCACACAGAGCGAGCTCTCAGCCATTCAAATCAGTTTTTTTCTCTCTCTCGGGCATCTATAACAACAGTGACGCCATCCACAAGCAAGGCTAATTTTATAACTTTTCCATATTTATAACAACTGTTTCATTTTCCTGTTTTATTCCACCAGCCAGAACCTACCAATGATTTGCCTGTGCTGTTTGCTGCTCATTTTCAGAAGACAGAATAGCTTTATATCATGATTTTATCACAGCTTTCTTCTCATACTTGGCCACATATCTGGTCATACGGAAGGATGACTGGGCCATGACATACCTCATTTATTAGACTTTTATCACTGCAAATGTCTTCACTGTGTTTAATGTTTTTAAAATGTATTTATTTAGCTGGGCAGTGGAGGTGCACGCCTTTAATCCCAGCATTCGGGAGGCAGAGGCAGGCAGATCTTTGTGAGTTCGAGACCAGCCTGGTCTACGAGCTAGTACCAGGACAGGCTCCAAAGCCACAGAGAAACACTGTCTCGAAACGCCCCCCTCAAAAATGTATTTATTTTTATTTGTGTGCATGTATGTGATGTGTTTGGGTGCCTGTGGAGGGCAGATGAGTGCATCAGAACTCCCAGAGGGACACTTACAGGTGGTTGTGAGCAGCCGCATATGGACGCTGGGAACTGAACCCAGGGCCTCTGCAAGAGCAGCCAGGGCTCTTAACCACTGAGCCATCTCTCCAGCCCCTAACATATTTGACTCAGTTCTGCTCGATCTGATACTAATATTGCCTTAGCGGTTAGACTTCTTTCCTTCAGTTCGGTCTTCCTTGTACACTGCACCCATCTCTTTGCTTCCTGCTCTCCTTTATCATGCCTTGTTAGACGCTATTATGGAAACGATCCAGAACTCATTTTAAAAGGCATTAGCCAGTCTGTGCCCTGTCACCTCAGCTTCTCTTCTGGGTACACGGTAAGGTTGTACTTCACTGCCTTTGAAGTTAAGTAGGTATAGTTATGTGTCTTGCTGCTGCCACTAAAGCCAACATACATTTGCTTCTGGGTCAAACTTTCAGGGGTTGTGACAGTTAAGGAAGCCAAGCCACAGACCATCAACACTGTACGTCCATGAATGAGATGAGCAGAGCCACACACAGCAGCACACAGGTGGCCACTGAGTCCACGAGACGTGGCTGGCCCAAACCAAGATGTGCGCGGATAGAAAACACACTCATTAGCTCCTGAACTGGTAAGGCAAAAAGAAATTATCTTCACACTATTCTACTGATCTCACGTTTGAACCTTGGATATATTGGGTTAAGTAAAATATGATTAAAATTAATTGCATTTGTTTTGAAACATTTTTTTGAAATGTGGCTGGAATGATTTGGATTTGTGTCTTACTGCATTTCCACAGAAGACTCAGCTAATCTATGGCAAATGATGGATGAATGAAACATAAAAACCTCCTAATAGCTCTCTAAACTATTTCAAAAACAAAATTTAAGATGAAAAAGACTTACTTTTTATGTATACGAGCTATTTCATCTGCATATATGTGTGTGTGTGTGTGTGTGTGTGTGTGTCACAGGTTGCAGTGTCTGCAGAGGTCAGAAGAGGGCACTGGAACCCCTTAAACTGGAGTTACAGATGGTTGTGAGCCAACACGTGGGCACCAGGAACTGAACCTGGGTCCTCAGCACGCGCTCTTAACACTGACCCCTCTCTAGCCCTGTGTGTGCATGCTTGGGGGTGAACATAAGCCACTGCTTGAAGCGTACACGGATCAGAAGACAGCCTGCAGGAGGCGGTTCTCTTTCTGTCACAGTCTCGGGGACAGAATTTAGGTCGTCAACGTTAGTAGCAGGCATCCTTATGCAAGGAGTCATCTTGCTGGACCAACTTCCGCTGTTTGAAGCCTCGTAGGTTTCAAGGTTGTTACTGAAATACAACTACACTCATGCTGACCGGCCCATCTACTCATGGGTCATTCCTCATTTTGGCTGAGAGTAGAAACACATCCAGGTGAATTTCTGTGCATGTCATCCTTGCTGCACGTGGGTAGCCCTCTGACGACGTTCTGGGTCTTCCATGAAAGCAATGATGTGAAAGAGACAGACAATGCTAGAGCTACCCACCACCCATGAACATAAATCTCGGGTGTGAGGAGGGAGGCACAGAGGCCAGTGATAGCCACGCAGGGAGATGGCCAAGTGGAGGAGCACAGTCTGGGGTTCTTATGTCATCGCTGGGATCTAAACCAACTCAGCACCCGACTGACTCAGTCTTTGCGTGTGAGAAAAGCAATCAGTTTAAGCTACTGGTTGCTCGTTTTCTTTTACGTGTTGCCCAAACCATCGCCATTTGATGGCAGGCGTGTTCTTGGTAACGGCGCATGGCTAGATCTGTCAAGACAGATGACGTCGTCTTGGTCACCTGTGAGCAGAAACTGGTTCAATCTGTTTCATGTTCTCTGTTTAAGATATGCTTCTGTTTATCTTCAGCTGCCCTGGAGAAATCAGGGCCTGAACTCAGACGTTCATACTGTCTGAGTTCCTCCCAGCCCAGGGCTAGCTTTTTGACAGGTACAATGTGTGTGCTTTATCATCTTTTCCCCTCTCAGTAACCTGCACACGCGGTCACAGTCTTCTGTCTTTTATTGTTGCTGATAAGAAGTGCTTTCACTGGAATAAAGTGTTCTGGTAGCTTGTAAGATGTGTTGCTTGAGCCAGGGGATAGGGTACTGGTGGCGCACGCCTTTAATCCCAGCACTCGGGAGGCAGAGGTAGGCGGATCTCTGTGGGTTCAAGGCTAGCCTGGTCTACAGAGTGAGTTCCAGGGCAGCCAGGGCTACACAGAGAAACCCTGGCTCTGTGTTTGAAATAACAAACAAACAAAAAGCCGTGCTCCTTTAACTGAGGGAGTTCTACCAGCAGCCCCTGATCCCCGGGCGTGTGCTCTGCTGTGTCCCACTCCTGCAGGAGAACCAGCAAGCTTTGCGGTGGCAGGTGCAATCTGTCTTTTTCAGCTCAAGAAAAAAACATCTGCCTCGTCTTTCTTTCTGGAACTCCGCTTGCTGATTGCTCTAGATGGCTCCTCTCCTCCCTCACGATTTCCATCCTTGCGTTTCTGGTCTGAATTTTAAGATATTTCTTCTACTTGCTTTTCCAGAATTCACACTCAGTTCTCAGAAACGGCTGCTCTCACTGTCTCCCTTGATTTCTGAGGTTTTGTGTTTAGTGCTGTGAGACGCTGGAGCCCCACAAGTCTTTTCCATCCCAATGGCTGTCCCGAGTTGTCTGTGGAGGCTGGCTTTCTACGCTGTTTTCCCCAGAAGGAGTCTCGGACGCTCGTTTTTCCAACGTGGACCTGAGGCTACATTACAGTGGACAGTTTAAATCCTTCCCCACGGAGTTCATGGGCTTCTGCTGGTGGTTGACATTTCAGGTCTTTCCTAGGCCTCTATAGAAGACAAGTGTTTGCCTTGGGTATATGGCAGGCTGGCTGGCCCATGACTATTCGCTGTGGTGTACGGCAGGCCGGCTGGCCCACAGGCTTCTGCTGACTCCCTGAAGACATTGCACTAATGCTTTTATGTGGGTTCTGGAGATCTGAACCCAGGCAGTCAAGCTTGGGCTCACTGAACTGTCTTCCCAGCTCTACTGGGAATATTTCTTTACGTCAAAAATCGTGACACGCCATTCCTCAGGGTATGCCACTTTTAACCAAGACAGCCACTGACTGTGTGGCTATGACGTAGCTCATTTAACCAACGATCTCTTTTTTCCTTTTAACCCCTGTTTGGAATCAGTATGTGTCTGAAAATGTACCTCCATTGACTTAAGGAAGGCCAGCTTTGTGCGTGTACACATATGTGTGTCTGTGTGCATGTATGTAGGTCAGAGGTCTGCATCAGGCACCTTCCTGGATCATTATAAGCTATGCTGGATAGCATCTTCTGGATCAATCTTTGTACATTTATAACAAGATTTTTTTTTTTTTACTGTGAAATAAAATTGCTTTCATCAACAACAGGCATACTCTAAGATTTTAATTGTGCATTGCCAAATGTTCTCTCGGAAATGCAAACCAATTAGCACACATTCTACACCACTTAATGCTATGCTGCCCCCTCCACTCCCACACCAAACCCAAGTATCACCTTTTAAAAACCTCACAGACAGGAAAAGGGTAGTTTTAGTTTACATATTTGGCCATATCAAATATTTTTCATATTTTGAGCCATACACCAAAACAATCAGGTGTTTTGATCTATCCCATATTTGACTAGTTGTATTTTTTTCCTTATTTAAATATGTAGTATATGTGCACACATACCCGTGGAAACCAGAAGAGGGCATTCTAGCCTCTGGACTAGAATCCCAGGCTGCTGCGACTGCCTGACGTGGGTGCTGAGAACCAAACTCATCCTCTGGAAGGGCAGTGAGTGCTCCGGACTGCGGAGATACGAGCCTCTCTCCTGTCCCACAGCTATTTCTTATTCTGTGAGTTATCTGCTTATGATCTTTGTTCATGCTATTTGGAACATAAAGTTTTATTTATGACTTCCATGTCTGTAATTTTAACCATGTTCCTGTTGGATTATCTCCTTTGCAGTTTTCAATATTTTTTTTTCTTAACCTGGAATCCAGTTTTTGACAGAAATTAATATAACCTGGTTTCTTTGTTTGTTTCTGGATGGTATCTCTTTGTTTATCCTTATATTCTTAACTGTTCTGAGTCATTTTGTTTCAGATGTGTCTATCAGACAGCCTGTGGGTGGTTTTGGGTTCTGACCTATTATGACAATCTAACACACACACACACACACACACACACACACACACACACCAGCAAACACTTCACCTGGAGCCCTTCCACTTTACTGTTGTTAAACACGTGTTGTCACACAATTATACTCACTGCAAGGTCTGCTCTGTCTCTATCTTACTTTGCCTGTTTCTATATCTGCTACTGGTTCCTTCTTAAAAAATTTATCTGTTCTGTGTGTGCATGCGTGTGCACGCATGTGCACATGCGCATGTGTATGCCCACCCATGTCACAGTGTGCATGAAAGGGTCAGGGGATGCCTCGCGGGAGAGTCAATTCTCTCCTACCATGTGGGTTCTGGGGCTTGAACTCAGGTCATCAGGCTTGGCAGCCCCTTTACCAGCTGAGCCATCTTGCTGGCCATAAATTTCGATCACACATGCCCTTCAGTTGCTAGATGGGAGGAACAGAAACCCTGTCTCTAAAAAGACCGAACCCACGTCTTCAACAGCTGCACACACATTACACAGACTGTTGGGGGAGGATCTGCCACGGCAGGACATACACAGTGCCGCAGTTTTACCGACGGCAGTTCTCCGTATGTACTGACCTTCTGAAGCCCACCATTCTCCTCCACCAGTGGTGGAAGCACACTGGGGCTGCTGGGTGGAGGGGCCTCCACATTGTAGTCTCGGAAGCAGCAGAAGAAGGAGCTGAGGATGCTACGACCCCTCTGCTTCTTCAGGCTGATGCTGCGCTGAGAAGCTGAAAGAGAAAGAGCACACTGTGGGTGATCGAGGCAACGCATGGGGGCGAGGACTGGAGTGTGCAGCTGCTTCTCAGACCCGACTCCAGGGGCCCTGCAACCCACCCCCACAGGCGGGACAAATCACTGGAACTTTAGCTCGGTGGGGCTGCTGGCTCCTTAGCACCACAGTGCTCAGGGGCATTGTCACCTGCGTTCTCCAACTTGAGGAGGTGGAGCATTCCTACCAGCAACAAGACGCATCAAAATCAGTGTCTTTTCATGAATAAACCAGACCTGACCCTCCCTCAGAAGCATCTTTCCACTGGACAACAAGCAAGAACCTCTTAGAGACTCGGTGTCTGGACACTTCTGTGCTTTACGGAGATGGTCATCTGTAGGGGTCAAACAGCTCAAAGATGTGCGTGATGCTCAGAGCGCGGGCTTTGGAGAATCAGGGAAAGTTCTCTGGATCCAACACTGTGCCCTGGCCTGCCCTGAATGGGAGGCATCTGAAGGAGGGATGGGTCTTTCTGTTTATCCAGGGCTTGGGACAAGTTGCCACAAGTAGTCAGAAATAAAAGGTAAAATCTGGCACAGATGGAAAACACACCTCAGGGCAGAAGACTGACAACTTGGATGGGCAGGCGCTTCTGCCTGGGAATGTGGCCGGGGCAGTCCTACCACATGCCATGGCTGGGTGGGTCTACAGTGTTGGGAGCTGTAGTCTCAAAGAGACCCTGCTGAGGCTTAGTGATGTGGGAAGCGTGTTAAAAGTAGGGCAATTGTGAGAACACGCCTCTCCTCACGAGCCACCTGGCACTATTCTTCACTGTGTGAACTTAGTGATTCACTCAGCGCCCTTCCTCCCAAGTGATCACAATCCCAGGAATTAGTTCCCTGGTAACAGCAAACCCAAATGCATCCAGGGGATTCTGGGAAGGTGATCACCAAGCAACTGCACAGACGTGGGTGGTCTGCAGCCCCCATGCACGACCCTTAGGGGCCGAGGAAATGGTCCAGTGGTTAAGAGCATTGATACACAATTGTAAGGACCAGAGTTTGGATTCTAACACCCGTGGGACAAGTTGGGCATCCCGCACACACCTGTAACCCCAGCTCTGAGGGGAGAGACAAGAACTTCCTCTTGGGATTCACTGTCTTCCAGCCTCACTGAGAAAACTCAAGCCCCAGGTTCAGAGACAGCCCACGCCTTAAAGAAGTAAGCAGAGATTGATGGAGAAAACCTGATGCCCTCTTCTGACCTCTATGTGCACGCGTGTGTGCACGCGCGTGCATACACGCACGCACGCACACGCACGCACGCGCACACACACACACACACACACACACACACACACGATGCATTTTAAAATGATAAATCCTGGGGAAGCTGGATGTTTTGTCTTCTTCATGAATACTTCAGGGTACATCACGGAGCCCAGTGGTCCCATTTCAGGATTCAATGGCAGGGTCAGGCCACTGGGCCAACAAGTGGTGGCCTCCCAAGCACATGTGAGCAGTGTTGGTAAATATACGACTACCAGCAAGCTGACTGATGGCCAACTTTCTAAACCTCACCTCCTGGACTCCACACAACTCCCAGAGGTTACAGGGGTCACTGTTTCCATCCTTGCTGACAGGGAGCAGCTAGCACTTGCTGGTGCCAGGAGTAGAACCCAAGTGGGCCTTTTTCCAATGTACGATTTCCTAAGCGCCCCACTGAAGGCGAACCCAGTCCAACAGCATGCTGGTCTCCAGCTGACGGTACATTTCCCGGCAAGTCTATGGTTTGCTTGCATCTTGGAGACGGTGAGCAGCCCAGTGAGCAGCCCGAGAGGGAGCGCCTTCCAAGGTCTGTCTTCACCTTTGGCTCACACAACCATTCCTCACACTAATTAACAAACAACTATTTATTTAATCAATCATCAATCAATCAACCTGAGACTTGGAACCAGTAAGGCACTTACATTTCTACCACTGGATCCCTCGCTGTCTAGAGAGTCAGGAGAAGTTAGATTTAGCCATACAGAGGCCCGTGGAAGTGCAGAGGTTTCCTTGCCTCCCTTCTTGGAGTAGGGAGAAGACAAATTTCCTTAGGACCAGTGAGCGTATGACTGAGTGGCTGGAGCCTCTGGCCCTGACCTCTCTCCCACATGTGGGATGGATGTCTCCGGACGTCTCATAGGCCTTCCCCCTTGACATGGCTAAATGGGACTCATAGTCTCCGCTCCTCCAGTCTCTGACATGGCTAAATGGGGCTTGCGGTCCCCGCTCCCCGACTCTAATCATCACCCCTTTCTCTTTCACTAGGCCGTCCTGAATCCTAAGTAGCTCTCACATCTGTCTTCATCGGCTCCTCTCCTCCCCAGGCAGAGGCCTTAAACTGCTGAGGTAGTGTCCTAGCTTGATTTGCTACAGATCTTTGTCCCGCAGTAATTTCTTCACAGGATCCACGTGACAACTAAGCCTACCAAATGCTGAGAGAGAGAGAGAGAGAGAGAGAGAGAGAGAGAGAGAGAGAGAGCACAGCTCTGGAGCCTGCTTGTGTGGGTACTCATGACGGCTCAACCAGAAACACCACGGGGACTGGGGAAGTTGCCTTACTTCGAGCCTGGGTTTCCGTGTCCATAGAATAAGGACATTAGAAATGGCCATACCTTCCAAGTTTGTTGTGAGAATGAAATGTTTTAGTATGAGCACTGAGAATAGAGTCTAATAAGTATTCAGCAAACGCTGCTCTTAGAACCATCAGTGGTCTTTTTTTTAAAAAAAAATTAGGGGCTGGAGATATGGCTCAGTGGTCAAAGGTGGGTAATGCCCTTGTAAAGAATTCAAGGTGGTTCCCAGTGCCCATGCTGGCAGCTCATAACCACCTGTCACGCCAGCTCCAGGGTTTCCAAGGCCCTCTTCTGACCTCTGTGGGCACTGCACACACACATATACACATAATTAAAAAGTCAATCTTTAATTTCTTTTCGGAGTCTCTTCAGCAATGCACTTACTTCCTTTTTTCTTTTCTGTTTTTCTTATTTCTCCCATTATTAAACACATGCTATTTTTTATTTAGTCTGTGTGTGTGTGTGTGTGTGTGTGTGCGCGTGCACCCATATGCACACTGTGTGTCGAGGTTGGAGGAGAACTGGGTGTCAGTTCTTTCTTTCTACCATGTGAGTCCTGGTGCTTGAACTCGGGTCTCCAGGCTCTGCAGAGGCCCCGTTCCTTGCTGAGCCATCTCATCAGGTCTCAGCAACGTTTGCTTGGCAGGGCAGAAATGATTCTGCTGGTAAATTCTGGATAAAGGCTGGCTGTTGCGAAAGTAAATTTTTTTTTCTTTCTCCTGGCATTTGCCAACCGAGAGACACATTTATTATAATAGGTCTCAGTTATATAAACTGCACTTTAAAAGCAAAGCTAGACAAATCTCAGGAAATAATTCCATTCAATTGCTTTTGAAATTGGATGCAGAGATGGGCAAGGTAAAGAGGGGGCTGAGTGTCCAGTGAGCTCTGCTGGCTGCTGTTTTCTGAGGGAAAGAGCAGGTTCTCAGGAGAGAAGAGGCAGAGCCCCCACTATCTCACCCCCTCGCAGCTCGCTTCCCCCCAGGGCTATGTTTAGTTCTCTGCTGAGCTCTGCTACCTAGGCCGGCCCTGGAGTCCTAGCCCGAAGCTGCTCCCTGGACGGCATCACCAAGGAGGCCAGCAGATCTAGCGCATTCTCCCACTGGGGTTCCCTGCCATACCATGACTGCCATCTCCCCAGGCTCAGGGCAGCACAGGTGGCGAGGGACCACCCTCTGTCTCTTTCTTCAGGGTGATGGTGAGACCACGCTCAAGGCCATTTTCTCCACCTGTTGGCTAGGATGTGGGTATCTCCTATTTTTTTTTTTTGTGTGTGTGTGTGTGTGTGTGTGTGTGTTTGTCTTGGAACTCACTCTGTAGATCAGTCTGGCCTTGAACTCACAGAGGTCTACCTGCACCTGCCTCCTGAGTGCTGGGATTAAAGGCCTGTGCTACCACTGCAGGGGGTATCTCCTCTAAAGGTGAATAAAGGGAGACACTTGGCAGACGCAGATGAGCAAGTCTGTGGCTCAACTTCTTCTCCCTGGAGGACGTTAGAGGGAAGTCACAGGAGAGTTGTGCTGGAGGTGGGTCTGGATTTCATGATCCTTGTGTGTCTCCTGGAGGGGGTGACAGAGGGAAACAGAAACAAGGCTCGTTTTCTGGGCACACCCTACTGCTTCTTTCTAGACCTCACTTCAACAACTAAGACCCACTTCCTGCTTGTGGATATGGGCTTTGCTCTCCTGCCAGGGCTAGGAACTTCTGGAAGCATCGACAGATAAGGCTTGGAGTAGACAATGTGGCAGCTGCCTTTTTCTCAGAGGAAATGAGTCCCTGATCCTACAGAATGGGAAGCTTCCAGAATGTCTCCCGGTCTCTCTGAATGGGAGCAAGAAGTGACCTCATTAAGTAACTAACAAATTAAAATCATTAAACAGGAATATGGCATCCATCTGACAGGTTTCGCCTCCCAGAACTCCACTAAGTTTTATACTAAAAAGTTCTCCTTAGGGGGCTAGAGAGGTGGCTTAGAGGTTAAGAGCACTGGCTGTTCTTCCAGAGGCCGTGAGTTCAATTCCCAGGACCCACATGGTGGCTCACAATCATCTATAGTGGGATCTGATGCTCTCTCCTGGCATAAAGGTGTATGTACAGATAGAGCACTCCCATACATGATGTAGATAAATAAATCTTTAAAAAAATGTGTCCCCCTTTATTTCATGTCCTCCCACCTCACTGGCTTTTAGTCCACACAGGTGAACTCGGTCCAGCAGGTTCTTGCCTGGGACTCATGCTGGGACTGTCAGGGGTGTCCTTTCTCGCTGGGTTTTCTAAGAATCCTGGAGCTGGTAGCCACCCTTGTCACTAGTGCAGGAAGCCAAAGTTGAAAGAGATAGAGTATTATCAAGACCAGGCCCCTGTGGAATTTTTAGCTTTGTAAAACCACAGATTCCCTT